TAGTAGAGACGGGGTTTCACCATGTTGACCAGGATGGTCTCGATCTCTTGACCTCGTGATCCACCCACCGCGGCCTCCCAAAGTGCTGGGATTACAGGCGTGAGCCACCGCGCCCGGCCACTTCTGTAACTTTCTACTGTTGACCTCAAGCCTCTAAAACCAACTCCTATCCCACTGCCCTCTGCTGGCTCTTCAGACTCAGCCCACCCGCATCCGGGTGAATAAATAGCCATGTTGCTCACACAAACCCCGTTTGAGGGTCTCTTCATTCAGAGCGTACATTTTAACCCCTGCTACCTCAAAGTGTGGTTGTATTTGGAAAGAGGTCCTTTCTTTTTTGTTTGTTTGAGAAGAAGTTTCCCTCTTTCACCCAGGCTGGAGTGTGGTGGCACAGCCTGAGCTCATGGAAATCTCCGCCTCCCAGGTTCAAGCAATTCTCCTGCCTCAGCCTCTTGGGTAACTGGGCTTATAGGTGCGCACCAGCACCACACCTGGCTAATTTTCATATTTTTGGTAGAGATGGGTTTTCACATGTTGGCCAGGCTGGTCTCGAACCCCTGACCTCAAGTGATCCACCTCCCTTGGCTCCCAAAGTGCTAGGATTACAGGCATGAGCCCCCGCACCCTGCCTGGAGACAAGTCCTTATATCAGGACCTTAATTTAAATGGGACATTTAGTGTGGGCCAAATTCACTTGGCTAGGGTCCATAAATGAGGAGGACATTTGGGGGCAGAGAGACCCCAGGGGTGCAGGTGTACAGAGGAAGGACCGGAAGGGACCCCCTGTGAGCCAGGAGGAGCGGCCTTGGAGGAGGCTCCTTCTCAGGGGCTCAGGACCGGCTTTTAAGCATGTTGCTCAAAGCTTCCGATTGCCAGCTTGTGAATATTCACACCCATTTATGACAAATTCAGTTATGCCAGGGAGATGGAAGGAGCAAGCTGCGGCTCCCAGGCTGAGGGGAAGGCAGTCTGAGGGGTGGATGGAGGTCACTCTGGAGGCAGAAGGGGCCTCTCACTCACAGGAAGGGCCCAGGAAAGCAGGGGAGGCAGCAAGGTGGAGGGAGCAGAGGTGGGGGTGGGGGGGTTACCATGAGGGCAGGAAGTGGGGCAGGAGGGAGGGCAGGAGGTCTCAGCCAGGAGGGGACCTGCTCTGGGACAGAGGGGAGGCCTCAGGAGGATGAGCAGGAGGTGAGGAGAGAGGTGATGAGGCCGGAGGGAGACCCTCACCTGAGAAGCTCCCCCAGCGTGATGCGCAGTAAAGTGTAATTTTTAGGCAGCTCATTCCAGGGAACGAATGTCTCTGTTTTGTTGTCCACGAAATTGTCCCAACAGTGTTGAAATTCTGAGAAAAAGAAGAGAGAACGCAGTCAGGCCCAGCTGGCCTCTCTCCTGTGACCCTGGGGCCCTCCCCTCCCAGACCTGCTCCGGGATGTTAGTTACTCTCAGTGCCAGACCTGACCCCACAGGCTCCCCTGGGACACCTGGCCTCTGCTGGCATCACAGACCCACAGGTAGATGTGGGAGGGACCCATCGCAGATCCTCATGCAGTCCCTCCCACACCCCTGAGCCCCACTTCTCACCGCCATAACTCATGATCTTCATGGTGGCATGCGGACTGTCTCTCCTCTGACACAGTCTGCGAAGCTCCTTCCAGTAATGTGGGTCCCAGAAGTAGTAGAGGCGGGCCACGAAGATGGTCAGGGTGACCATCCCGTCCTCGGCCAGGAACTCGGCCACGTTCCTTGCACACACTGGGCAGGGGCTCCAGGACACAAACCAGGTGACCTCGTACTCCTGGTCACTATGCAGCTTCCACTTTCGGAACCAGTGGAGGAATCTCATCTCTGGGTGGTGTTGAGGCTTCAAATAGACCTGAGAGAAGAGGAGGGGGCAGGGGAAGCTGTGGGACACTGAGCAGGAGGAGTGCAGGGGTGGGGCATGGGGAGGAGGGGCCAGGACAGGGCTGGGGGATCTTGTTCATCGAAGCTCCTTTCCTTCATCCCCCCTCTTTGGCTTGAGAGTTTGTCTGCTCCGAAGCTCATGTTCAGTGTTAACTGCTATTGCAATGGCCTTAAGAGGTGGCACTGACAAGAGGCTATGAGGCTGTGGGGACTACACCTTTGTGGGTACCACTGGGGTGGTTATTCAAGGGTGACTTCAGCCCCTCTCTCTGTCTCTTCCCCTCCAGGTGGAGAGGCAGCATGTCAGACTAAACTCCTGCTTCCTCTGTCCCCGTGTGGTGGAGAAGCAGTGACTCCACATCCCAGGCCGCTCTGTCTACAGCATCCCCTGAGCTTGTCCCAACAACCTTCACCCCCACGTGACGGTGCAGCTCGCAGGCCCCGGAAACTTGCTGGTGCCTTGACATTGGACTTCGCAGAGTCCAGAACTGGAGCCAACGCATTTCTGTTCATTGTAAATTTCCCCGTCTCAGTCATGCTGTTGAAGCATCACAGGGTGCACTGAGACACGTGCTTCCCTTCTGTCGGTAGTATTCCTGGCCCTGTTCACAGCCTCATGCGTGAATTCTGGCATCCATTCTCCCAGGCATCCATTCACCAGACATGCTCAGCCTCTGCTGTGTCCTGGCCCTCTGGGGTCGGCCTCGTTCCCTGCCTGCTGTCTGCTGGGGAGGCCACTGGACCTGTGCTGTCCCATGTCAGTGGAGGGCACTGGCCACGGGGGCTACGGAGCCCTTAAAATGGGGCCTGATGAGAGACCTGGGCACAGGAAAAATATACCACTCTTTTGAGAGTGAGAAGAATAAAAAACTTCACTATTGGCCGGGCGCGGTGGCTCAAGCCTGTAATCCCAGCACTTTGGGAGGCCGAGGCGGGTGGATCACAAGGTCAAGAGATCGAGACCATCCTGGTCAACACGGTGAAACCCCGTCTCTACT